GAGTAACAAGTAACGTTTGTTTTAAAAATGTAAGGAAGAGAAAGTACAGATACTTGTGTGAAAATGTAATGAGTCGAAGTCAGAAGTAGGAAGAAAAATAAGTGATGGAGTAAAGTATAGATACCTAAAAAGTGTACTTAAGTACAGTAACGAAGCATTTGTACTTCCTTACTGAGACCTCTGCTTATAAGTCACCTAAATAATAAAACAGTCTTGTAGTCTTTTTTTAATTTTTATGTCACTCTAAATACTTTTATCAAGTGACAGTTATAACATAAGTCGAAAAAACAAACAGCATCACTATGTTCAAGATAGTTCAAATCAGGCATGAAGCAGTGTTTAAAGCAAACTGAGGTAAAAAAAAAACATTAAAAAGTCCAACATTTTTATGATCTCATAACAGACTGTATGACTGAAGGAGCAGCAGAGACCCAGAGCTCAGGTGGGAGAAAGTTAGCAAGCCAACTATCACACGTATCTCTATAGAACATTTCTTAAGTGGAAAGTGGTTGTTAAACACAGCTGTTGACCAACAGTGAACTTTTTGGTCTACATGTTATAAACCCTGCCCAGTAAATATTCGAGTGAGAATCCACCTTAAAGTTTTAACCCTTATACAGTTTTCCATCCATTCTGATAAAGCTTTAGCCATATTGAAAGGGAAAAGTAATAAGTTTAATCTACGTTTGCCTAATCTTCAATGATTCAAAATAAGTGGAGCGAAATTGCACTTACAATGTTATTTAACTATGTGCAAAAAATGGGTGCATTGCGGACGATCTACAAAGATTGATGCATAAATGCTAAGATATGCAAATCAGTTTGGTCCTATCCCATTAATATAAACAGATTTTGCTTTACCGAATGTTCAAGTCTTGTCTTAAAAGAAAGTTAAGGTAATGATACAAGTTATGCAATTCAATTCAGTTTATTTATATAGCACAAATTCACAACACATGTCATCTCAAGTCACTTTACAGTTCACCAGATCAGTCAAATTTATTCAAAGTCTTCTATCTAAGGAAAACCAGTTGATTGCATCAACTCATTGACTAGAAGGCAATCCCTCACACCAAGCATGATTGTAGCGACAGTGGAGAAGAAATCTCCCTTTTAACAGGAAGAAGCTTCCAGCAAAACCAGGCTCAGTGTGAGCTGCCATCTGCCGAGGACGACTGGGATTCAAGGAGACAGAAGCAGACAGAGAGAAAGATGCAGAAACATAAAAGGTAACTGTAAACCAGCTCCACAGGCGGACCTGTCAAGGACACACACAGCCAGGCAGATGATTTCCAAGCCAGCTCCCATGTAAAAGGATGAAGAGAGCACACCCAGCCAGTCACAGTCAGAGAAACAGGACTACACTGAAAAACAGGCTGATCTCCAACATCTTTAAACAAAGGTGTTAATGGCTGCAGCACAGCTGATATTTCTCTCCAGGATGGTGTCACAGCCAAACAACAACAGACCAGATGAAGCTACTATGAGAAAAGGCAGAGAAACCATAACATTAGAGATCGAACTAACAAATTCTGCAGAGTGGGAGAATAAAGAGATTGAATGAAGCAGAATGATGAACAAGGGGTCCCTATGTCCTCCAGCAGTCTAAGCCTATAGCAGCATAACTATAGAGCTAGAACAGGATAACCTGGGGCACACTTACTATATGCTTTATCAAAAAGGAAGGTTTTAAGCCTACCTTAAAAGTAAAAGGTTGCACAGACAGCGATACTAACATCACGCAGCATCGTTGTGCAGAGTCGGTAGCATATGTAACGTTAGCGGGTCTAACGACCGATGACGTTTTATCAGAAAGATAATAAAACTCAAAAAGATCTGTTTATGGTGAACAAAGTAATTGTTAGACAATGATATAAAGTGGGAGAGCTGGGTAGAGCTAGCTGTGCTCAGTAGCTAACAGGTTAGCCTCTTTAAGCTCGGTCAGTTAGCCATATTAAGCTACACTACACTTCGTGTCAACAACTGTTCATTTTCTACAAGTAGAATAACTGTTGTTTTATTTGTCTAAAATCTCTACGGAAGTCATTTTTTAAGATGTCCCATTTGTCCTCCACTGCCCTCAGATCTTAATAAAAAGAGTAAAAATAAGATTAGTCAACTTGTTAAACTGCAGAGCTCAGTCTTAGAACGGCAGAGCTCAGTCTTAGAACGCAGCACTTACCTTCAAGACTGAGCATGATTTTTTTGTACTTTCGGTTACTTGAACACCAATGAAATGTAAAATAAAAGCAAATATAGATAATAACAAGTTGAGAATCCAAAAGAGATTTAATCCTCAAGAAATGGGTGCAATACAGTTTGTCCGAGTAGAGTTGCAATATGTTGACATCATAAGAAGGGACAGGACCCCAAACAGATCTGGTATCTACATCGGTTGAGCAGAACCACTTCCAGGAGGAATGATGGTTAAACTTTATTGGGATATAACAAATAGAACACTTTATTTACACTTATTTCTAAGTGCAGGCTGTCACATATTTCTTTTTTTAATATAAATATGCAACAATATTTAAGTACAGTGATTTTCTGGGGGGTTGATTTGTATAAAATCTTCTACCATCTCCCTACTGTACATTGACTGGTGTCCACTGTTTTTACTTAATTTTAGAATGTATTTTAATTCTTGCATTGTACCGGTGCCTGCTTTGTGGCAGCAATGACTGCAGATTTTTTTGCATGTCAGTTTGTCACCGGCTTTCAGAAGTAGCAAAAAACTTTGCACCTTTTTTTCAACACATGCTTTGCACTTGCTAAATGTTTACATTTGCATATCCTCCACCCAAATTGAATTTATGCAGTTTGGTCATAAGAATATGAGCTGCATATTGATGAAAGCAAACATGAAAAAAGGTTTGCACTCACAGTCTGCTGAATTACAAGCGCAATTTACTTGCCACCTTGTTTATAGATCTGCTCTGCACTTGTTTTGAGACGCACAAACAGAAACATACCATATAGACACATTTTTTACAAAAAAATAAGTCAGGGTAGAATATCTTGTTTTAGTTTGCATTTCAGTCCACAATTGCAAACCCATCGTTTGCAGATCTTATTTGTAAGAAAACGCATGTAAAAAAAAAAGCATGTAACCTTCTCGGATTTTGTCAGAACTACAAAAGAATTCTGACAACCTAGAGCTAAGGGATTTGTGAAATAAAATGTCTCATATAGCCAGTGTGGGTTTTTTGCATCTTGATTTAGCAGATGTTGAAGAGAATTTACCTTAGTCCATTGGAGAGTGGCAAGGGGGTTTCCACCATCGGACACACACTCCAGCACAAGCAATTTTCCTGCTATAATCTCATTTCTCTCCAAACCAATAATATATGGCGGATCGGGTGGATCTGTCAGGGCGAAAAAACAATGGTGCAGAAAAATCTTCAGGTTAAGTAAAATACAGACATGTATATCACAATTTAAATATATGCTAATTATAGCGTTATACTGTATGTGGTATGTGAGGACTGTTTAGTCTACAGTTAACTACATTCTATATTTGGAGTATCATTTAAGAGTATTAATAAAAAGTTGTCTCTTTAAAAGAGTCACAATGTCTCACAAGCTAAGGTAGAGTTGTTGATTAATATTATCTATTGCCAGCAATCATACCTGTATTTTATGTTTGATTATGGATTATCTTGGCAGCCTGCAGTCAATCAAGAAAGCAAATGCATGGCTTTTACTCTTCGGCAGAAATACATTTTCCTTGAGTCCTCCTGTTTAAATGGGTTTTGCAACAAATTTGAACTCAGATCTTTTAAAACTGCTTCTTTCCAGATTTAATCTGGTATCATAAGGTCTGAGGTTGTCAGTATTACTGTAGGCACATTTTAGGACTAAAGACAGTGGGGTCTTTATTTTTTTAATGGCCCCACTCCCCCTGCAATGTTAGGCCTTTATCTTTGCATCAATTGGATTTATATTTCTAAAAAGAAAACCTCAAAACACTTTTTTTTTCTTCAACAGGACTTGAATGACTTACAGTAAGTGCTTTATTTGATAGGGACCTCTATCATTTTTTTAACTGTAGTAATCTGTATATTCCTATATATTTATGCAGTTCATTCACGTGTCACAATATTCTCCAGTAGTTTTCCTTCATGTTTCTGCTGCACCTGATCATCCATTAATTACTTTTTATGTATTTACCGCAAGGCTAAAGAGACGCAAACAACCATGCACACACAGACTCATATCTAAAGGTGATTATGAGGGACCAATGAAACTAACAGTCCTGTTTTTGGTTTGACGGAGGAGAAAATCCATGCATGCAAAGGTAAAAACACAAGCCCCATGCACCCTCACCCCCTTCGGGTTTCACATCCCGGACATTGTGGCTACCAGACAACAGTCCTACCAACTGCTTTATCCTGCAGCCTTGTTTTACACCTTTTCCACATAATTCTGCATGCATATAAGTCCACAACCGATACACATCTTGACTGCATCCTCTGTGTAGTTTGTGAGATCCCATGTAGAAATTGGTGTGTTTTTTTGGGAAATGTGTAACATCAATAAAGATTGCTTCCTGGCTAAAATAAAAGACTGAGCACAATGTATCCCTATTTGTTGGGAGAGAGCCATTAAAGTGGTCCCATTCAACATGATTGTGGGTAAGAGGTCCAGATCTGATGAAAGCATTAAGAATTAAGGGGAACATTGTGTCCATAAAGCAAAATAACAGATGTTCAAGCAGTAATAAGGAAGCATGAAATATGAATAAATTACAGCTGGGCTTGAATAAAATATATGCAGTAAAATGAATTAGAAGAGGATGGGCTTTTGTTATTGCTGCAATCAGTTTTAGGGAGCAGCCTGCAGACCCTGGGCCAGCATGATAAATTGCCACCTTGCTGACAATCTGGCTGGCAGAAAATGGCCACCGCACTGGCTTTGATGGGCTGGCACACTGAGTAATACTGCAGCACAGGTCCCAAGTTCTGCAACATTAGCATTTTGCTACAGACAGACCCTTTTATTTATATGATGATGGAGACAAAAGAAAAATACTTTGAACGTAAAGGGCTTCAGTTTGAGAAGGTTAATCAGGGTTTCAGTCAGCTTAAAGAAGATAAAAGATGTTCAACCTGGAAATCTTTACTTAAACATAACCATAAGATGGAAAACAATCTTATTTTAGCTTATCAACTTTCCATAAAATAAAGATTTCACAGTAGCTGCCATGTCACACTGCTTCATGCATTAAGAAACAAAAGCTTTCACTGTTGCGCTGCCAAACAAGAGCAAAAAGGACATTAAATAACAATAAGAGAAAGTGCCAGCGTGTGTGCCAACTAACCTTTGTGCTGAGTAGCATCAATTTTATTCCATGTTGTCAGACAGTTTGTGAAAACAGTCTGAAGGAAAAGGCATTTTCTGCCTTTGTGCATTCTAAATTTAATTTGAGCTGATGAACACAAATGTTACTAGATTAGTCAAGGCTATATTTATTATTATTATTATCATAACTGAGGTGGCCCTGGTAGGCATTAGCCTATTATTTATGCTAATGCTGTTAAAAAAAAAATCTTTGCTTGTATAATCCATTTGGGCTGGTCTAATAATTGTATTTTGCTTAAAGGTGAGACTAAAGGTGTCTCAAAAACAATACATCAAATTTAATGAAAATGTTACTGCAAATTGCTCTGTTTTTCAGAGTACTAGTAGAAAACCTTGTGCTGTATTAATCATTAATTGAGTCTGTAGGGTGGATTTTATTTTTGTTTACTTTCTAAAGATTATTTGTTCTGTCCTTCGTTAAACAGGTGTGATTTTGCCTTCATGTTGAATTCTTCTTGGACCAATAGCACAGGCTGAGTGCACAAGACAGAATGCCCCCTGGGTCTCCCTGAGGATGCCTTGACTTCTAAGTGTGCCAGTAGCTGCACGAGTGTATGCTTTGAGGAAATAAGATGGCACACTCACAATACACATTCATGGTCACCGTGGTCACCACAGGCTGGGAAGTGGCTTCATTGTTGGCATGACATGTCAGCTCTCTTCCATTGTCAGATTTCAGAGCAGTGAACCTTTTAGAAGTAACACAGAACAGAAAGAGTCACAAGTTTTGAAAAATTGTGGTGCACAGAGATCTTTTTGGTTGATATCAAAAATGAAGGATTCATTGAGGTGTATAAGAAAATTCATAACAAAGTAATTGAATTTAGAGCCCATATATTTTACAGATTCTTTAACATAGAATTATATATGTCCTTTTCTTAACACAATTTTTATTGATACAAGATACTTATGGTTTTCAACTACTAAAGATCAAAATGTCTGTTTATCAGAAAGTAAGTACATAAAAATAATCACGGACATAGAAGGAGAGTAAGTCCTTGAAGTTCACGCTTGTTCATACAGGACTATAGAATTTGTGTTTTAAGGAATGCAAACGTGCAAAAACATGAATAGAACATTTTAAAATAAAGTTATTTGATTAGATGGAAATTAAGAATAAATGAAATGCTTTACTTTTCAATAACAGTTTCAAAGCAGATTTGTATCTGTTTAGCAGCCACTGCACCATTATCCAAAAACTGTCAAGCCAAAAATGTGATCCTGCTTACGCTGTGCAAAAGTGCTCAGTGAAGTCTGGGGAAAAGTATAAGAATCTAAGCATGCTAGTAAGTTTGCTCCTATACCATTTTGTACTTTAGAACCTTTTGTATGTTTGTACTTATATTTCTGTGGTCCAAAAAACCTGCCTGCTGCAGGACATCAGATTTCCATCATGTATCAACTTTTTCCCAGCTTGGGGACATTTTTTTCTTGATTGGATGTCAGATAATTCAAAACAAATTAGAATAAAATGTTGTTGTTTTTTTTCGCAGTGATGAAATTAAACCTATTTAGAGTAATTATTGCTTTTTAAAATGGATCAAAGCATTTTGCAGTAGGGTAAAATGACTCCCAAATTAGACCTGCTTGCTGTCAAATATTGTCAAATAATGATGCACTGCAGTTAGTAAAGTAATTAAATGTAAAAACTACAAAACAAATAGAAAGTTGTGCGCATTGCCGTTGTTACCAACATCCAACCCATATTTCCCCTTTCAGTCAAATGTGCCTAATTTTAAATCTGATTATTAAAAAAAACAAGTAGAGGCAAGACCAACTTAATTTCTTGCTCTAAATTGCACATGCATAGAAGTAAGGTATTGTAAGGTGTTGAAAGAAGGTAGGAAACACCTTCCATTTCAATTTTCCAAACCAGTGACAAATCAATAGTGAAAATGATATATTACTCTCAAAGCAGACTTCCTCCTTTTTCTTACCGCTTCTGTCTATTGACTGCTCTTTTCAAACAGTATGTTGACAAAATAAATCTAAATCAGAAATATCATACGAGTGGAAAAGTTGAATGTTAGCAATAATATACTGAATCATCTGAGGCAGTAAATTAAGACTGATATGACCTGCCGTTCTGAGATTTTGTGTTCATTTAGTTTTCACTTTGGATTTTCTGGTAGGCTTGAATTTGTTATTCTGTTTTCGCTGTTAAGAATTATATCATGTTTTGAATACTTTAGTTTTAGTTTTCCTAGTGGTGTGTTTTCAGTTATCTCTGGTCCATTTTCCTATCCTTTAGTTTTCCCCCTTGGTCATTCGTTGTTTCCTAATAATTGGTATTATTTACCTTCTTATTCATTAAAGTTCTTTTCTAGTTTTAGTTAAGCCCTGTTTACTCCTGGTTGTCCCTCTCCTTTCCAAACAGCTGCTTCTGTACACACCTGCTCCCAATTACCTAATAATTCCATTCATTATTCTTTCCTATATATACTCCTCATCTGCAGGTCCTCATTGCTGGTTTACTCCTCATTTATATTTCTCCTTTGTGTCTCCTAGTTTTGGTTCCCTGTTTATTATTTCTGGATTTCTCCTTCTCTTAACATCTACATAAAAATTAAATCTGCAATAAATCCTCTCTGCCTTTTCATTTTTGCATTGGGGTCCTCAACTATCTTCCTCTAAACTTCATACAGAGATTTTATAATTATTACAGTAGATATATTTTTCAAACTATGTTGGGCATTTTAAATCAGCAACGTTATTTGTGTTTACTGTCTTGTGAGACATTTATGGTGGCAAAATTAGAGACCTATGCGTATGTTTTTGAGAGATATCTTACCCCATATTAAATTACTCCATCTGCTGAAGATTAATAAAAACTGCATATGGTTTCAGGCCACAACATCCAAGTCAGTAACCAATAGGATATAACAATCAGCCATGCAAGGAAGAAATATTAATTTGCAGTAGTTGTGTCGATGCAGCCATTAGGCCAGCATAATGCAAAAGGCTTCAATGGTAATAAAGAGTTGTAGCAGGCGAATATTTGAGTTCAAAATTCAATATTCCAAGCTGGTCCCTCTTTTTTGGTCTGGGAGAAAAGATCTCTTAGGGATGATTCTGTACGTCAGTAAATCAAAAGAAAATGTGCAGTATGAAGTGGTAGAAAACTTTAAAGTAGCTTTCATTCTTATCTTGTTTGAAATTCAGTTTATGCCTTTTACACAGAGTTACAGTACATGACAGCTGTTGAAATCCCACAAGGCCTTCTGCTCTGCATGTTCACTGTGATTATGAAAAAAAGAGCACCAAAATTGCTTAAGACCTTAGTTCCAACTGTGTTGAATAAGACAATAGCACAGCTCCTCAGTACAAATGTTATTTCAGAATATGACAAGAGGTTATTATCTCTGACACTGAGGAGACGTGCAGGATTAAAGCAATCTATGCCCCTGTTTAATGTATAGGCACCTGGTAAACCTGCGAGGTTCAGCTCTGTCTCGCTTCTGCAATGTAATTTCGTGCATTTGACAGGAGCTAATTCAATCGAGCGACGCCAAGAAACAGTTGACTTGTGTGTGTACAGAGATTCATTGTATTCGCTAAGACAGATGGAGAAAATAAGAACACTTTGAAAACAAGGGAAACAAGGAGCCCAGGCAGGCTGAAGGGAGATTGAACAGCCTGGTAGAGGAGAATGAGTCTGGCAGGCGGTGGAGCACATACGTTACTTCGGCGTGCGTGTTCAGAAGCTTATCCTTTGAGCCAGATGTGGTAAAAGACGTTGCACCTGTCAGATCGACTCCATCTAAAAAAGACACAGTGGGGAGAAGATGCACAAATAAGAAGAGCACTCACTATAGATGTGTTCACAGGAGTCAGATGCATCGGAATTGCTATAATTTGAGCAGTGACAAGTTAAATATGCAAATATATTTATCATTGTGTGCCATAGTTATACCACCTCTGTTTTGATGTCTTTAAATGTTTGTAAATAGATTAAGATGCATACAAAAAATAACCTTTTCACCTAATTTCCACTAAAAACAAAGACAACAGGTCATGTGATGTTTTGGCCCCAAGTACTTTAACAGGCAGTTTGCTTAAATGGACAAGAAGAAACTTGTTAAATATACTGTAAGAGTCAGGGAGAAATTGGAAATTTAAACATTTGGGTTATCCTCCCACACAGTCTCTCTTCCTATTCTAAAAATATAATAAAAACACAGAAAAACTGAATTTCATCCTTTAAGATGTTTCTGCTCTTAAACATCAAGGTCACGACTTACAAAAATACTAAATGTAGAATATCTTAAAATGACCACAATGCTTATTTCCCCCAACTGTTATTGTCATATAAACTAACCTGAATATGTTCTCACCTTTATATAGGCAGATATCAGCATCAGGTTTTGCGTCAGGGGCCACACACTCAATCCTATACTTTTTCCCTGCCACCCAGGGTGTCTTCACGTCCATGATAAAATATGGCTTTGAAGGAGGAACTGCAGATATAAAACAACCATTAAGTGTTTGAGAAATCCAAATTACAGTAACTTGAAAAGTATTCATAATTCATGGTCTTTCATATTCTATTGTGTGAAAAAGATCCAAATCCAAAAGTTTGTTGGATTTGTACACCACAAAGTGGTGCAAAATTGTGAACATATATTTCTGGTTACTGGTACAAGTATGGACGTGTATTCTGATCCCTTTAGAGACAATCTAGTGGAACCAATTACAAGTTCATTAATTGGTTGAATTCACCTGCGTATAATTCAACCCAGAGAGACTCACACAGTGAAAAGCTGCAATTAGAAAAGTTTTATTCAATACAATGCAGTTTATTTATATAGCACCAATCCACAACAAATGCAACCCCCAAGGCACCTCACAGAGACCACCCAAGGAGATAGAAGCAGATATACAGATATTGACATGTGTTTTTCCTCTTGTTGCACGATGGGTAGCAGGTTTTCTTTTTTACAGGTTTTTATTATTTAGGTAGTCTTCAAAAAAAAAAAATGTGAAAACTAAAATACGAAATGCACAGCATTATAACGGTGTCAGCTAAAATGCTGAAACGAATCAGACCATTGCAGAAAATAAACAAAATGACAAACAAAACAGAACTTGTTGGCTGCGTGCATGATGAGAGACTGTAATGTCATTGGTGTCTTTAGTCCTGAAGTTGTGTGTAACCGTCCTTCTTAAAAAACTTAAACCGAGCTTATCTTCTGTGACCTATTCCCTGACGTGCTAATGTCCTTCTGAAGTTTAAATGTCAACGTTGGGGTGTTATCACATGCACACACATTGAGGTTGCATATTAAAATAAAAGTTCACCCTTAACACAGGTAAGTATTAAAAAAATATTTTGCATGAAAAACGCTTATAAATGAACGCTTGCAACAGTTACAATATGAATGAAAGAAGTTACTTGGTGCTGGAGCCTGGCAGAAGACTTTGATACTGAGGATCGACATTCACTTGGATGAGTAACCTAGGAAAATTATTGGAGTGGTCTTCTCCAGAGGCCCGGACACAGGTAGTGGAACAAGCCAGAGGGTGAGTGGGACTGAGATGGAGGAGATGAGGTGGGTGAACGTTCACTGGTGTGCGAGAGAGAAGCTAGGCCAGGAGCTAAATGAAAGAGATCTTGAAATATGATTGGCTTTTGAGGAGGTGCCGTCTTTCAGGCTTCCAGATTGAATTTCCCTTAAGCTTCATTTCATTTTCAATCTAATTAGATTGAATTAAAAAAGATGATATAGTTTTTATTAATCCCAAAATTTAACATTGTTACTGAGTTTTTTTGATTAGGTGTTTTTCACGTTAATAGCTTTTGGCAGGGAGGATCCCTTGTAGAGATCTGCCTTGTAGCAGATCTAGAAAAGCTTTTGACTGAAGACACTCTATTGTTAAACAGTCTTGAAGAGAAATTTCAGTATTTTCCATAATGTTTTTCATTCAATTCTGCTTTGTAAAACCAATGCCAGGAATTCTACCGGAGTCTCAAGAACAGAAATGGCCTTCTTTATTAATGTCGCAAGCTTCTTTAAGGAATTTGTTGTAATGCTGCTACGACAACACATGACAAAGTATAAATCTACAATTGCCTCAATTGTTTTATTTACATTTAGGATTACAGACTGCGACCAAGTAGTCCACCAGCTCTCTGTACTCCATCTCTGACAGACATAAAACTGCAGAGTCATCAGAGAATTTCTGATTATAACAAAAGTCTCTTGTATTGGAATTTAGAGGCAAACAGTAAAAAGGAATGGTGATTGAGCTTACAATCCCCTGCAGTGCTCATATGATGCTGACTACCTCATAAGAGACTACCTTCAGTCTCACAAAGTGTGGTCTGTCAGGTAGTCTGTGATACAGGCAGTTGTTAAGGCCACCACCTGAGTCGTCTGGAGTTTCTAACCCTGTAATCAGGCTGAATTGTACTAAATGAATGGGGGGAAAAAATCAAATAACATGATCATCATAGTTATGTCTGCCTAGTTCAAATTCCTATGATTTTGATGAATTAGGTGTATGATGGCATTTTCAACTGAAGTTACACAATGAAAAGCAAACTGCATGTGTTCATGATACTGATTCTTTGCTTGCTCAGATGGGCTAACAAGTGTCTCTCTAAGACCTTCAGGAATTGGCATGTCGGGGTAACAGGTCTATATTCATTAAAGAATGATGGCTGATCTTTATTTATTTTTTTTTTTTTAGGCTGATCTTTCTTTCATTAGACCAAGGCAGGAATTCTTCTACAACACTGGAACTGTCTCCTTGGTCAAGTTAAGGTTAAAGAGGTGCTATAGAATTCAAGAAACCTGCACTGCAAAAGCCTTCAGGACTCTGGCCGTTGCCATGTGGACATGGTACCTTAGTTTGACTTAATCTTCCCAGTTGCCTCTACAGTTGAGTTCTGGAGACAGACAGTTGGAAGAGAGAAGCAAAGAAAGACACTTCAATTTGATCTTTCTACAGTGGGGAGAACAGGTATTTGATACACTGTTGATTTTTCAGGTTTTCCCACTTGCAAAGCTTGTAGAAGACTGTAATTTTTATCATAGGTACTCTTCAACTGTGAGTGATGGATTCTAAAACAAAAATCCAGAAAAATACAATGTATGATTTTTAAATAATTAATTTCCATTTTATTGTTTGCAATAAGTATTTGATCGTCTATTAACCAGTAAGAATTTTGGCTCTCACAGACATGTTA